GGTTTTGTTATTAATGAGAAGAATGTTTTACATCCTTGGAAATCCTGTAAATTTTTAGGTTTTGTTTTTTTTGAATCCCATCACTTGTTTTTCTGATGAGTAAGTAAGTTTTGCAATTTGAACCGTTGCAAAATAAGAGTCTTTGCCGAGCTTTGTGGTGTGCTAGTTTTCAGTTTGGCCAGCAGTTTCTTACAGTTGGGTATATACTAAGAATTTTTGAGAGAATCAAATATCTAGCCCTTCAAGACTCTGTTGATAATTATGATACTTGGATGATAATTCCTTGTAATTTACGGAGGCATTTTATGTGGTGGCTAAAAAGTTTACAGAATCCTGAATGCCCTGTAAGACAGCAATGTTACAAACTTGAGATTTTCTCAGATGGTACTTCTTTGGGTTGGGGAATTATATGCCAAGGGAATTGTGCCAGAGGACTTGGGAGTCCTAGGGAAGCTCAGCTTCATATTAATGCACTAGAATTAACTGCGGCCTCTTTTGGTCTCTAATGCTTCGCCTCCTATTTGACTAACTGCGAGACACTTTTCAGGATTGATAACACAACTGCTATGTAAATAGAATATTGTATGTAAATAGAAATTTCGAGGCGCCTTGGGGTTGGTGTGAAGAAAGGAGGTTATGGGTTAAAGCATCTTACATTCGATCTTCCGATAATTTTGAAGCGGATAAGGCATCCACGAATTTGAATTTTGATGGTGAATGGTACCTTTCGGACAATGCTTTTGCTACAATAACAAGTATATTGGGATTCTCATAAATCGAACTGTTTGCTTCTCGCCTAAGTAAGAAATGCAGAAAGTTTATTTCCTGGTTTCCAGATCCGGAGGCATCTAATGTTTTGCTTGTTGCCACGGGTTTTACGAAAAATCAAGGCTGATTGAGCTACAGGGATCGCAGTAATCCCTTACGGACACAGCTAGCATTGGTTTTCTATTTTTGATGGGAGGCGTTGTAGTTATTTATTGTTTCTAATTCCAGACAAATTACCTTCTTCTTTTGACAGGAGAGCTCACCCTTTGTGGAAACCCCTTACCCGGGCTGCAGGGATTTTGTCAGGCAAGCATTCCAGAAGATTTGCTGGATATTTTTCTATCATCTGTTCAGAGCGCTACCTTGAGGCATTTAATACCTGCATGCATTTAAGCTTTGGTGGAGCTTTTTCGAAAGGAGGGGAGTGGAGTGTTATTACTTCTCACCTAGGCTGTATTAGATTTCCTTACTATTCATTTTAGACAAGGCAAGTCCTATGGCTCATTGAGTTCTTTCAGAGCAACGCGGCCTTATTTTGGATCAGAATTATTTAACAATGCAAATCTAACTAAATTTTTTAAGGGTTTATAATCTAAGGCCAAGTAAACCAAGATATGACAGCACTTGGGGCCCTAGTTATGTCTCTGACTTTGTAAAAGGGTTACGTTCTAATGACTTGTCATTAAAGCAATTAACTGTCATTAAATTAGTTTTCTTACTGAAGTTAACAATTGCACATAGAGTCCAAACGCTCTCTCTTATAGAATTGGTCAACATAAAATCATTTCAAATTAAGGTTTCAGCTATAAATAAGACTCGACTTGTTTTTAATTTTGCATAAATATGAAGATGTAAATCTTTGTGTGGTTTCAAATATTCTGTTTTATATTGAGAGGACCAGTGCTTTAAGAAGCAGTGAATCTCGTTTACTCATTACATTTAAAAAGCCTTGTAGGGCAGCAACTATACCCAACAAAAGCAGTACTGCTCACAGCACTCGACATGCCTCAATATCGTCTGCGTTTTGTAAAGGTGTTTCAATTGATATGATTGGAAAGACGGCAGATTGGTGAGAACGCTCTAAATGTTTTGCCCTTTTTTATAATAGACCTATTTGTACAGCAGGTGCAGGATTTTTTGTTAATGCCACATTTGCGACATAGAATTTTTCTGAATGCTTGTTTTCTCGGACAGCCATTTATTTTGTATTTGTACTCGAGGCTTTCATAAACTTCATAAGGTTTGGATTTCCTTATATAGCCGAATAAAATCGTTTTATAACAAATTTGCTGAATTGCCTTTGAAAGTCTACGTATATTGATTTCATAGAAGAGGTGTAACATATAATTCGATGATCAAACGAACTTACCTGGTAAGTGAATTACGATCGAACTTCACTTACCAGGTAAGTTCGTTTGATCATCGAATTATACGAAGGTTAAATACTGTTTCATAGAATGAAAATCCACCCAACTATGGTCGGTTCTTCCCGGTCATCCCTTTTGTGTCATGTCCCTTCTCTCTCTTCTAAGAACGGACTCATTCCTCATTGCTCTACATGTTCTAGAAAGATTATTGCGAATGCAAGAAAGGTTGTCAAAAAGCTTACGGATACAGAAAACCAGGGCAAAAGTGCTCCGTTGTGTACACGAACTGTGGTGGTTCTTGCGATAATTCGCAATTTAAGTCGCAAGACAGCAGTGAAAAAGAAGAAACGGGCACCATTCTCGAGAAAATAAATAACGAAATCGAGAAGGCAGAGGATCACGATGAAACTGATGATCCCATCGTAGATGAAGCAGAAGAAACTTGAGTCTTTGATATTTCAATCAGTACTGAAGACGAAAGAATAAAGCGTCGGATATTTAACTAAATGTTTTTCTTGTAAAATGCGTCGGAAAGGAGTTATTAGCAAAAAACTGCTTTTGGGCGCCATTATGTCAATATGGTGGTGCGAGCGTCAAAGATACGAGGTGGCAAACTTGAAATTTACAAAAAGGGAACATCAAATTATTTTATAAAATTGTCAATTTTCGAAACTCCGAAAAACTTTCCAAGTAAAATTACTAAATGACTGTAAAACGTATTCTACACGGATTTTCAAACCGAAGGTCGCGTGAAGGTCGACGCCAAATCAGCCACGTCCAGTGTTTAACTGAGCCCGTTTCGATGAAATGCGCTTTTGAATTGTTTTTCGACAGCAGGAAATGTACGTTTGCGATTTGTCAACCTCGGTCGCAACGCGTGCAATAATATATCGCGTGAGCGAACGGCGCGTAAAAAAAAAAAAGCTGACGTGTTTGACGCAAATCCAAAATGGGTTATCGAAATTGAAACGCATCCGCTGTGAGATTTTCGGGATTCTATACGCTACCAGTGCGCGAATCGGTTAAATTTGTTTTGATATTGCGAATGACCCGACTCTCTCGATGTAAATGGTAATGGCTTTTTTAATTAACAAATGGGAATTCGGTTCGATTTTTTCAAAGGTTCCGATTTAATCGCTTCGCTTTTTTTAACTAAAATGACGTCACAGGAAATGGAAAAACTACAACTAAATATTATTATTTAGTATTAAGTTTCAAGAATTCACGGAAGTAAAAAGGCAAGAATGGAATTACCACAGAATAATTTAGCTAAATAGGATAGAAAAGCTTACATTTACAATGCTTAGTGGAAATGAGCAGGTACTTTTCAAATCCGAGGAAAAATTTGTAATTACGTCCTCATATTTGCGAAAACAAAGCCACAACGGAAACCGACATTTGAATCAGACCTCTTCTTCTTATTGGCATTGCACTTTCAGCAAATTCCCTTGATGAACTTAATTTCCAAAATTCCTGTCTCTAATATTCCAAAAGTAAATTTAAAAAACTTTGTAAATGACATAACAGGTAAAAGTAATAATTTCGCCCACTTGGCCCACTATTATTTGTACTGTTCATGAATAATATGCACCAAGCCTTGAAATGTCTTGCTGTGTGCGTATGACATGAAAATATACAGAAATATAGAGACTGAAAATGACTCAAAGTTAATGCAACAAGATGTTAATAACATATTAAAGTGTTCAAAAGGTAGTTGGTTAGATTTCAATGTCAGTAAGTATAACTGCATGCCATTTACATATGTAAAAAGACTATTTTTCTTTGAATAAGCTACTTACATTTGATATGAAATATATTCTAAAATATTTGATTCTTAATCCAAGATAGGGATGGTTAAATTGGAAAAAAGTTGCGAAAAGTAAAGGCTTAGAACGTGAGGTCGAGAAAACTAAAAGTTTCCCATCACTTCCGAAGACACGCAGAAAAAACCGAAATCTATCGATTTCGTTTATTTATTTATTTTTGTGTTATTTAAAGACATATAGAAAAAAGTTTTAAATATTTTTTTTATTTTTAAAATAAATAAAAATTGAGTCTGTTTTCTGATGATAAAACTTACAAGCAACTATAAACAATAAAATTGAAGAAAATTCTGAACACTAATACCTATATAATGTAAGCATAATATACATTTTTTGCAAGATATCTTCACAAATTTGCCACACAGTAAAGGCTGATTAACGCAAGGGATTTTAATAATAAAAATAGATTTAATAATACATTTTATTGTACGAGATGGATACAATTTTCTTGTAGTTGTGAAGTGGTTCACGCAATAGCAATGAAATACAAATACCCGCTCATACGCCTTGAGCTAAAACAATTGACGAAATAGATTTCCAATGTACCTATAATAGACCTATCGTGGACAGAGCATGCAGAGAGAGTTTAGGCAACCAAAGCTTGATTACGGTCGCATAATTTGGTCTCCTCTTTAATACTAAATATGCAGATCATTGAAAAAATTCAAAAGCAATTCCTTAACTTCACAATTATATTCTAAGAACGGAGTCTGATACTTATGTCCACAACTTAGAAGGTTACGGAAGGACGTCAAAATCATTAATAACACAGTTCTACAGTGATTTTGATGTTTGAATGGTGTTTGCTTATTTGTATATTTTTGGGGGCCCTTCATCGCGTCATCTAAAACGTCATTTTTTCTATACCGCTCTATATTTCATAAATCTTATTTTATTAATATACAAACAACTACTACGCCATATTTTTACTCGATCACGTCATTTTTTTTATAGCGCTCTGTATCTTAAAAATGTTATTTTATTAATATACACACCTATGACATGAATATGTTTGTTCCATGTTAGGCATGATTTTTATGAAATGAAATGTGATCTGGCAACATTGGATAATATTAAATTTATCTGCAAAGCAACAGAAATGGCGCAGAAGCGTCAATACAGCGTTGCATCCTGTTTTTGCGTAGTTTGGTTGTATTGGTCGTCATAGTACTGTGTTCGAGGCTGTTGTCTTAGTTGTGTATTTCTAGTGGTCTGCAACGTATATATATGAAAGAAGACATTGTGCTCGCAATCCAAATAACTTTTGTTATATCTGTGGTAGTTATGTCGTAGTAAAGCAAAAGGCAAACTATAACTTCTTTTGTGAAAAATGCATACCACGCTTAATTTGGTGTGAAAATTGGAGACCAAGACAAGTCCTGGGCTCCTCATACGAATCATTAAGCAACTGGCCAAAAAGGTAGGAAGAAATGATTAAGCTTTGGTATTTCTATGGTATTGTGTATCCCAATCTTGACTCTACTATTCGACTAGTTCCTCATGGGCCAGATGTACCGATACTTACCGCCCCAAAAGAACTAGAAAACGTCATATCGTTAGACTCAGAGGAATCTAATTCCGACCCAGACGACTCAGAATTCACACCAGATTTTAGAGAGCCCGCACCTTCCAAACGATGCATGCAAATTGTTAGCGTCCAGACTTTGTGACAATCATTTACTGGCACCTGGCAAAGTTATGTCAATATTTTTCTCAGGAAGGACCGCTAGTGTATTGCAACAATATTTACAGCCACATCTGATGTAAACATAAAAGAAGGTATTTTTGTTGTCGTTGTTTGTTATTTAAAGAAGTAATTGATAGGTTTCTTGGGAACTCTGAGGAGTAGAACAACGAAAGTATTGTTTAAAATATGTTGTTTCATCGTCTAATTTGCAATATGAGTTTGAAGTGCATCTCTTGTTTCCAGACTTGAACTCCTTTCCTGAAAATCCTGGAGCAGTTAGCGAAGAACAGGGAAAGAGGTTTCACCAGGATGTTAAAGAAATAGAACGGCGATACGAATGCAGATGGAGCTTAACCACCACTGCTGGATGTTAAAGCGAGATATGCCCTTAAAAACACACAGCCGAAAGTCCGGACAAGGCAGCTTTCTGGCATAAAGACAAAAATTTCTCTCAAAAAAGTCTGACTTAAGGTTTTTTTTTTCACTTTTTACTGAATAAAATAATAAATCATTTTAGAAATATTGTTTTTTTTTCTACCAGCCAAAGTCATATAAAATTAATTTTAGAAATAAAAATATCTATCAAAAATTTTAATTTTCTTGACCTGTGTAATATAGTCTTTGACAATGAAACATTGAGTTGGTATGTTAAGTTTGCAGGACAATTGCCATCAACAGTACACCTAAAACTAATTACAGTATATTACATGTTATAATCAATACCAAAATAAAGTATAAAGGAATTGCGTGCAAAATTATTACAAAATTCATTCCAGATTGTTAGTCGTATTGATTAAAAGAGCGATATATTGTATCTCCTTCTGACTTTTAAGGGTTTTTTGTTAGTTTTTAAGTTAATTGCAACTTGTTATTGGGTAACCAAGGTGTAAATTAAACTCACAAATCAATCACCGAATAAAAATTGGATAGCACCAGATGGATAGCAAAAAAAAAATTGTCAATTTAAAATACCAAAATCGGTTGAACTGAGGTGGCTTTTACTTGACGAAAATCCATTTATCAAAATAAATAAGAACTAAAAGTTCAGATTTTCACGAAATTATATATTTATACATGACAATTGTTTCGACAACACCGTGTCTTTATCAAATGTGATAATTACAAACTACCTGCTAAAGTCTGTTCATAGATATAAGAAAGTGACTAACTGATACGAATTAAGGAAAGACCCCGGCAAGCTATAAGAATGAAATATGGCCGAACAGGTCCGTACTTTGTTTAGAATTTAATTATTTGGGGTTTTGTTAGGAAAGATACTAATAATATTTATTTATTTATGTATGTATTTATGGTTAAATCTAAAGTAAAATTACGAATTATTTTTATTACCCACTTAAATTACTTAAAATTATTCACAGTATCACTATCGCTATCATCGCCTGTTCTAATTATTATTTGTTCTATATTATTTGCAATATGGATATACGATTGTTCTGCTTTTTCTATATGTTTAACAGAATGAGAGTCAAATAAACATTGTTTATAACTTCCTTAGTCTCAATAGAATAGTGTTTGGGCGGGAGTATCACCTGAGATATACTAGACTCTCACATATTTTCCATAATTCACACACGATTCGACACACGCTGTATTACACACGAAATAAGAATGATTATTAATAAACTCAAACTAAGTAGTATACCAAACCAAAGAATATTAAACACAGGTAGCTAAAAAATTATTTTCTATTACGGATCGCAATTTTACCTGAATTTAAATTCCGAAACTTTAGGTAATAACCTTGTTGCATTGTATGTTAATGACCACCCTTGGATAATCCCATTAAAAAGCAATTGGTCACTTTTTTATATCTATGAACACAGACCATACTATATATACCGAAAAATGACCATACAACCTTAATTAATGTTATGGGAATTTAAGTTCAATAATAAATCTAATTAATCGTTAATTTTGAAATTTGAATGTCTCATTTTGTTAATCTCCATGGCTTCCAATAAATTTAATTTTCTACTTTTTGTGGATGTGTGTAATATATCAAAATTGTCGTCAAAAATGTGTTTTTCTGTGTTTAAGTGTGTAGCATAATTAGAATCTAGACTATTGTTTCTCTTTTATGGCTCTACCTGTTCGTCCAATATAAATTTTAGGACAAGATCCGCATTTCAACCTGTAGACACCCGATTTTTAAGATTCTGGCCATTTCGTTTTATTGTTTTTCAAAAATTTTCCTATTGTGTTGTTAGTGCTGAAAGCTATTTTTAAACCACATTTTGATAAATATTTTGAAACTGTTTTCAATAGGTTCTCCTATTATTTTGTTGTTGTTTTAAATTGTTCGTGTTCTGTATTAGGTTTCGGATAAATATAGCTTATTATTGTCTGGATCTGTTTTTTATTTATTTTTATCTATAATAGACGGATTGTAGCCGTTGTTCAGCGCAATTTGTTTAATGATATTAATTTCTTTGTTGTAATTTTCTGTTGAGAGTGGCGTATCAAGAAGTCTGTGTATAAAAGAGTAAAATGCAGCCACTTTGTGTATATAAGGGTGATTTGAGCTGTTATGTGTGTGAAGGTTTATTATAAATTGAAAAATCTAATTTGTTTGGCGCTTTTGTAATAGTTAAGTCTAAAAAATTAACAGAGTTATCCTGTTACAAAAATCGTTTTTTACGAAACATCATGTAAGTGATGGAATTTTTAAAAAATCTGAATTGTCTACCGAAAAAGCTCACAAAACTTTGTCCGTTTGATAGACTCCTTATCGTCAATAGTTTCACTGGGCATCGAAAAAAACTCTCACTACAATTATATAAAATAGATTTTTATAATAAATTAATAATAATAAAACAAACGACTCTCAAAAAGTGAACAAGAAAAACAATTTTGCTGGCAACTTTCAAAGCGTAATTTTTTTGCGTCAAAAATTACAAAGTTTCCGATTGAGGAGTTTTACTTTGACGCGAAAGCCTCGACTTGAGTGCCGAAATGGATGGGAACATTCGATGCCGAAAGCGTTCGAGAAACTTTAATTAATAACCTATTTCGATTCGCAAACATCGCAATCTCGCTGGCGCGGGTAAATCCGATCGAGAAAATTCGGACGACATCGCTTAAATGAATTATGCAAATCGGGATGGTTGCGCTTTAATTGCGGAGGCGTATCCCACTACCCCCGATTCGACGAAGAGAAACGAATTCATTCCGAGCACACTTACCCGCATACGTCCGGGAATTCGCCTCATTCCCGTATTTCAAACGCCGTACGCGGAAAAGAATACGGATTAAATATGGACCTGCACGGAGCAACGAGGGAAACTTTGAAACGACCTTAATATTAAACACCAAGGTCAAAGTCAGCTGCTTTCGGAGCTACTTTCGTATCGTTGGCTCTATCCTTGCCGCTTTAATGAATATTCGCTCCTAGGAGAATGCCCCTCCTTAGTTTAACGAATCAGGACTGAGACTCTGTATATATATATATATATATATATATATATATATATATATATATATATATATATATATATATATATACAAGCAAACTGTTAATTATTAGGATCACCCCAACTTCGATGGATCGCCGTAAAGGGAGCAATAAAAGATGTTGAAGCTCAAAGCAAAGTGGCAATTTATTGTAATATCTAGCTTTCGCCCATGGATACAGGCTTCATCAGGACACTAAGTCATATAGAGAACAAAAAAACACTTCATCAGAGTTAACAATCTAACCAAAAAATAGTGAAAAAAACTTACACAACACGCCTCTTTCAACCTCTACATATAGAGAGATGACATTGGTATATAAAATAAAGTGTTTCGCCCGTTCTAACTATCAACATAACACTCGATGGATGAAATTTATGGAAAAAATTTACAATTGTCAAGTGCTCATGTCAATGATACCGGACATAGTGTCATGTACGATGAAGCGGTAGTATTAAAGAGTGAAAAGAACCTCTTCAAACGTAAGTTTTTAGAGATGTGTTATATTAACTGTTGTAGTAATAGCCTCAACAGAAAGAAGGATGTTGAGGGTCTTAGTAGCATCTACACCTATCTTCTTAATCAGAGTCGTACTGCGAAGCATAAGCTACCAGTGTTTTTTGATAATGTCAGGTTGTAGTGGGTTGCTAAATTTGTTGCTATTAATGTTTAAAAACAGTTTCCTTTCTTTGTTTCTTTCTCCCCGTTCCTAAAAGATTGTTTCTAATTACCCTTAACGTTAACTTCAATAATGTAAACATAGTTATATAAATAGTGTACAATGGGTGCATATTTGAAAGAATTCTGTTTGAAATTCCCTCCCTTGTTCGGTGTTTTACATATGTTATGGTTGGCTGTACAGTTGGTATCATTGACTGGTTTTTTTGTTTGTGGCTTTTTTTAGGTTGTTTGCGAATTGTGAATAAGTTCCCGCACATTTAGTTTTCCTTCTCGACAATACGGAGTGTCATTTGCAACAAATCGGCTGTTTTTTTCATCTTTTAATATTTTATCAATCCGGATATTTTATTGACCTTAACGTTTTATATTAGTGGGTTTGTTTTGTAACGTTGTGGTGGATGTTAATATTTTTTACAATTGTAAATTTTTTCCATAAATTTCATCCATCGAGTGTTATGTTGATAGTTAGAACGGGCGAAACACTTTATTTTATATACCAATGTCATCTCTCTATATGTAGAGGTTGAAAGAGGCGTGTTGTGTAAGTTTTTTTCACTATTTTTTGGTTAGATTGTTAACTCTGATGAAGTGTTTTTTTGTTCTCTATATGACTTAGTGTCCTGATGAAGCCTGTATCCATGGGCGAAAGCTAGATATTACAATAAATTGCCACTTTGCTTTGAGCTTCAACATCTTTTATTGCTCCCTTTACGGCGATCCATCGAAGTTGGGGTGATCCTAATAATTAACAGTTTGCTTGTGTGTTACCAGTAGCCCCGTTACTGTCCTTCTCTTCTTCTTATATATATATATATATATATATATATATATATATATATATATATATATATATATATATATATATATATATGAGGTTTGTTACAGCTCGCGCCGTTTTCCCTCTCTCAACCAGACTCTCCATTCATCTTTGTCATTCCAATCTCCGTCTTCCAACCCCCTTTCCTCCATGGCTTCATCTATTTCATCCCTCCACGATCTTCTGGGTCTTCCCCTCTTTCTACGTCCCATAGGGCTCCACTCTGTCATTTTCTTTATCCACCGTCTATCGTCACTTCGTCTGACATGACCATACCATTTAAGCTGTTTTTCTGCTATTGTAGTTAATAAGTCTACATTCATTTGCCTCTTGATTTCTGCGTTACGTATTCTATCCATGCGTGTTCGTTGGCAACACCTTCTCCAATATTCCATTTCGACGGTTACTTTAGATTTGTTCTTTTTGTTCAATAGCCAAGTTTCTGCTCCGTATGTAATTATACTTTCTACTATTGTCTTAAATATTGTTGTTTTTGTTTTCTTTGTTAATTTCTTGTTCCATATAATGGAGTTCAGTTGTTTTATACATGTTCTACCCTGACCTAGTCTAGATTTGATTTCTTCTTCTGTTGATCCATCTTTTGTTATTATACACCCTAAGTATTTAAATTTGTCTGTTGCTTTTACGGTTCTGTTTTCATCTATTTCTAAATCTTCGATTTCCCCTTCTTTTGTTGTTAGATATTCTGTCTTTTCGAAGTTTATTTCCAAACCTACCTTCTCATATTCCTCTTTCAGCTTTCTGAGCATGTAACTCAAGTCGTCTTCATCCTGGGCTATGACCACCTGGTCGTCGGCAAAGCTTAGGGTGTATAAGTGGTCGTCGCGTACTGGGACTCCCATACCTTGACATTTTCGTTTCCATTGTGTTAGCGTCCTCTCAAGATAGATTTTAAACAACGTTGTTGATGTAGGGCATCCTTGTAGTAGGCCCTTTGATGTTGTGAATCGATTTGTGTACCTATTACCTATTTTAACCGACAACTCGTTGTTCTTGTACATTGTATCTACGGCTTTTATTAGTTCTCTTTCTATCCCAATATCTTCCATTGCTTTCCAAAGTTGTTGTCTGGGTATAGAGTCATAAGCTTTCCTTATATCTATGAATGCTAAATGGATGTCTCTGTTTTTAGCTTTTTTCTTTTCGATAGTCTGCCTTACCGTATATATCTGATCAACGCATGACTTCCCTGCCGTGAAACCGGCTTGATCTTCACCTATTTTCCCTATTATCTGATCTTCTATTTTGTTTTTGATTATCTTTCCATATAGTCTTCCCATGCTTGATATAATGCTAATTCCTCTGTAGTTGGTACACTTCCTACGATCCCCCTTCTTGAAAATAGAGCTTATATATGCCGTATTCCACTCCCTTGGTAACGTTTCTCCATTTATTGCCCTTTCAAACATGTTTTTCAATATTCTGAATAATTTGTCCGACCCATACTTAATAAGTTCATTCACTATCCCCCCTGGCCCTGGTGATTTTTTGTTTTTTAATTCTTTAATGGCTTTTATTATTTCTTTTTCTTCTATTGTTACATGCTTTAGATTGTTGTTAGGTTGTATTTGGTATGTTAATTGTTGCCAGAATTGTGGTCGTGTCTCCGTTAGTAGTTGTTGATAATAATTTTCCCATTCTTTGATAAACTGTATATTGACTTTCTCTTTGGTATTTGATCTGACAGATCTTATTGTTCTCCATGATTCCGAGCATCTTGTACCTCCTGTATACTGTTGTATGTTGTGGCAGAGTCTATCCCATTTTTCATTTTTTTCTTTACTAATTAGTTTTTTTGTTTCTCTGTTTTTGTCCTTATATTTCTGTAGGTCTTCTCCCGAATTTGTACAGAGCCATTTTTGGTGTAAGCGCTTTTTTTCCTGAATAGCTGCAATAGCTTCCTCACTAAGTTCTTCTGTATATTTTTTGTTCCTTCCGTCTTCCTCTCCTAATGCTTCATAAGCTGCCTCTTTAATGCTCTTCTTCACGTGTTCGTAAGTGTCTGTTAAATTATTAAAATTGAACTCTATTAGTTTTTCATCAAGTCTACGTCTGTACAAATCTCTTATTGTTTCTTCCTCTAGGAGGTGAATTTTAAATCTTTTCTCTTTTATTTCCTGGTTGTTTTGGTTGTCTTTTTGTTGTTCTTGTTTTGCTATCTCTTCTTTGTTTTTCTTTGCTACTCCATACTCTGTAACTTGTATCATATTCCCAAGAATCGTAAACCTAATAGGATTGCCCAATCCCATAAGACATACGTTCGCCAAAATTATCGATCGCACGTGGTCGCTTGTGAAGCAAGCGAAGTCCTCTAACGGTTTTTGTGTATTCTATCAATGCATTTGAAGGCGTATTAAACGGCTGTATTTTGTGTTCTTTGAACAATTAAAATAATTTAAACTAGTGAGTGGTGCGCTT